AGAGAGAAAGATAGAGAGAAAGATAGAGAGAAAGATAGAGAGAAAGATAGAGAGAAAGATAGAGAGAAAGATAGAGAAAGATAGAGATAGAGAGAGATAGAGAGAGATAGAGAGAGATAGAGAGAGATAGAGAGAGATAGAGAGAGAGAGAGAGAGAGAGAGAGAGAGAGAGAGAGAGAGAGAGAGAGAGAGAGAGAGAGAGAGAGAGAGAGAGAGAGAGAGAGAGAGAGGGCATGAGGTTGTTTTGGTGTTAAAGTATGTCATGTTAGTATAGAATTAAAAGGGAAGACTGGTAGGCAATGGTGTGTATAGGCAGTTGCAAATAGTAATATCATGATTATTGTGATAACTTTGGTATTGTTGTTTTTTTATTGATTTAGAAAGACTTCCAAAAAATTCCAAATCCTTTGTATTAATTGCACATAATATATTTCAGCATAGTCACTGATTTTCTTTTCAGATATAAATTGTGTACACAATGTTGGTACCGGTGTTTACCTTAAATCTGAACCAGAAGATCCTGCCAGCACGGGTGACTATCGGCAAATACGATGGTGCTCACGCATGCCTTACTGCATCGACTACTTCAGACAAGGTAAGCTTTAATGAACAGGTTTTGTAGTGTCTGTAGTTTTCCTTTCTTAGAAAGTGAAGAGAAGTTATATAATGTTAATACTAATGAAGCACAGGAATTGATTCTCTTAGTTCATGTATATTATTATTCTAGGATGGTGGCTGTTTTTTACTTTTGGGTTTGGCATTATTTTTGTGTATATTCCCTTTTAGTTAAGGCACTTGAACAGAGTGTTATTCATGTCAACGATTGTAGCTGTGTAAAAAGATTTAAATGCAAGTCCATAAGCTTTTATCCATATCATGTGACTTGAAGAAAAAAAAAGGTGATGGAATGTAGGGATGCTGAAGGTGCTCCATTGTTGTGCTCTGCCTTTAATAGGCTAGTATGGATTTGGTTTTTGGAATAGCATTAAAAATGTTATGGGATTATGTTATCCCTCATTGTGGGTGGGAGTAGTCATACAGATAACATTTTTGTGTGCAAACATTTTTTCATTTAAAATGTATAGAAATTTATATTGAAATATTTAGGTATTTGTCATTTCCCTCCTATTAACACTAAATTTGAAGACTAAAATTTTCATACTCTAGACATAAATGTCAAAATTAAATAATCTGATCCCTAAGAATTTTTAAAAGTTGGTGATACTTTTAGTCTTCTCAAGTATTAGTCATTAGGGCTTTTAAGAAATGAAGTAGCATGATATGTGATTCAAGTACAATTCTACCTCTTTGATATTTATTGCAGGTGTTTATACATAATCCATATCAACGGCTTGGCATCTCAGGAGGTCGTATGTCTCTTAGTCAGAGCAGCTCTGAAGTTTCGTTGCTCAACATTAACCAGACTGTGTCAGCTGTCACCGCAGGACGCCTTTCCCAGAGCAAGACAGGTGACATACTTGTAGTGGGAACACCTACCAATGTGTTGGCCTATGATGTCCAAAACAATGCTGATGTTTTCTACAAGGATGTAAGTCTTTATCCTATTTGCCCCCTTTTTTGTTAAAATTTTTAATAGATAAATGAATAAATAAACACACAAGTCCATTTCCTTTTTACTCTATAGATATATGTATAACTTCAAGATTTTAGGGTTACTTCTCCATTCTCCCACCTTATTGTACATGTCATGAATTCCAGAGTTGCCAGATTTTATACATGGCATTTAATGTTAAGACTGCCATAACTTACAAAGTAATTTAATGGCTTGTGAATGATCCTAATTGTAGGACACTAGGAATTCTTAATCACTCTCCTTCCCTTTAGGGTCTTCTGCAGATTTTTCTTTCTCTTGTATTGCTAACTAGTGATTGCTTGCAAAAAGTTGTGGGAGCCTTGCCTTTTGTTAGCTTGGAACTTTGCATACCATTTTCCTGTGCAACATCAATTTATGAATGGTGGGAATCATTTCATATTGTCCAATAACTATTTTACCCTTCTCTTTGTTTTTGTGCTAAAAGGGTTTGTTAGGAGGCTATGATTATAGTATGTATATACAGTTGTTCCATGCACTGCATTGTTTCATAGTTTAAGAGTATATCCTAATTATGTGAAATTTTAGTTTGTCACATACATATGTTGTCTAGGATAATGAAAGGGAAATATTGTCATAATTTACTTGAAAGTAACATTATTATTATCATAATGACATCTCTCCCTTTTAAACTAATTATGTTGGCCAGACAGCATTATTTACAGATTTTATTAATATTTTTCAATTTGGTCATCAGGTATCTGATGGCGCAAATGCCATTACCATTGGACATTTAGGTCGAAATCCCTTACCACTGGCACTTATTGGGGGTAACTGCTCCATCCATGGCTTTGACGGTGATGGCAATGATCCTTTTTGGACTGTGACAGGAGACAATGTGTCTTCTATCACTCTGACTGACTTTGATGGTGATGATGAAAATGAGGTATAGTATGCATTTTTACCAATGTTTTTCTTACCTTTCTTTGAAAAAGTCTGATTTATAATAAATGTAATAGCGCAGAGTTCCTACTTCTGTATAAGTGATTTCTCTTTCAGCTTTTGGTGGGCTCCGAGGACTTTGACATAAGAGTGTTCAAGCGTGAAGAGATTCTGTTTGAAATGTCAGAGACTGAGGCAGTGACAGCTTTATGCCCAATGCATGGTTCTAGATTTGGATATGCACTTGCTAATGGAACTGTCGGAGTTTACGAAAAAATATCAAGGTGGTGGAGGATAAAGGTAGGTCTGGTTGATGATACTGATTGAGTAATCTCAGACATGATCAAATGAATTTAAACCTACAACTCAGTTGATGTCTGTCAATATAGAAATACATTATCTGCTATTGCTTTTCAGTCCAAAAATCAGGCAATAGCTATCTACAGTTATGATATTGATGGGGATGGCGTTCCGGAGTTGATTACGGGATGGAGTAATGGAAAGGTAGATGCTAGAAATGACCGGAGTGGAGAGGTCGTCTTTAAGGTAAGCTCTAAAATTGTTTGTTTCAAATCACATAATTTTTAAATGAAGAAATGAGGATCTCATGGCATGAGATAGTACAGGATTTATGAGAATACTCGGATTTTCAATGGGATGTTATATTGAAAAATCAAAGAAATGTAATTTTCCAGTGTCTGAAAATGCAGCATCAACTCTGTTATTCACTAGTAATAGATAAAGTATATGTTGGCATAATCCTTCAATTCATTGGTTCTAATAGATCTTGTAATCAAGTATTGGTTATTGAAATAAATAATGGAAAGACATGCCCCATTTGGCATAAAAGGGGGGGAAATGTGTAGATGTTTGGAGTGTAATGTGCTTTTCAATGCAGGGCAGATCCTCAAAGTCAAAAGTTTAGATTTCTTACCCAGTCTGGAGAACAATTCATTCCCATGGTAGTGTTGTATCTTAGCAAGAAGCAGTAGCTGGAGATGATGAGAATTTCCTAAAGAATTTGACAAGTGTACATTTTCATATAAAGACAATCATAATTGCTGTAAACATTAATTATTACAGAAGGTATTGGTGGGGAACCATTGTAACTTCTGTTAGCTTCCATGTGATATTCAGAAAAAGATAGATCTGAATTGTTCAAGGTTTTTGAAATAATGTGCTATTACTCTGTAAACTGGGCAAGTTCTGTTAGAAGGATATGTACTACAGTGTGAAATGAAAGGTGGATGACATCGCAAAAGGCCCCAGTCTGTGTTTGGTTATCACTTGAGAGATTCAAATTATGAAATTTCTTGCAGGATAACTTCCAAGGAACAGTGGCTGGTATAGTCCAAGGTGACTACAGAATGGATGGCAAAAACCAGCTCATTTGTTGTTCAGTTGATGGAGAAGGTTAGTTTCTTTCTCTCTCTCCCTCTCTCCCTCTCTCTCTCTCTCTCTCTCTCTCTCTCTCTCTCTCTCTCTCTCTCTCTCTCTCTCTCTCTCTCTCTCTCTCTCTCTCTCTCTCTCTCTCTCTTTGTCTATTCATCTCTCTCCCTCTCTCCCTCTCTCTCTCTCTCTCTCTCTCTCTCTCTCTCTCTCTCTCTCTCTCTCTCTCTCTCTCTCTCTCTCTCTCTCTCTCTCTCTCTCTCCCTCTCTCTCTCTCTCTCTCTCTCTCTCTCTCTCTCTCTCTCTCTCTCTCTCTCTCTCTCTCTCTCTCTCTCTCTCTCTCTCTCTCCCTCTCTCCTCCCCCTCCCCCTCCCCCTCCCCCTCCCCCTCCCCCACTCCCTCCCCCTCCCCCACTCCCTCTCCCTCTCCCACTCCCTCTCCCACTCCCACTCCCTCTCCCTCTCCCTCTGCCTCTCCTCCTTCTCCCTCTCCCTCTCCCTCTCCCTCTCCCACTCCCTCTCCCTCTCCCTCTCCCACTCCCTCTCCTTCTCCCTCTCCCATTCCCACTCCCACTCCCACTCCCTCTTCCTCTTCCTCTTCCTCTCCTTCTCCCTCTCCTTCTCCCTCTCCCTCTCCCTCTCCCTCTTTCTCTCATGTTTTATACTTAGGAAATAGTCCATATACATCTATCATCATGTTTCTCATTATTTTCTTTATATTATTTTTTTCATGCTAAGTGAGAGGATACCAGTCCTCTTCTCCTGAGAGTCGGTATTCACTCATGGATGTTAACATTGAGCAAGAGACCATCCGAGAGCTAAGCCAACGCCGACACAACCTACTGATGGAACTGAAGAATTACGAGGAGAATCAACGAATGGGTTCGTCTGGCGAGGTTCTCTTTGGCAAGCCGTCATCCGCAGGAGACCAAGTTGGAGTTATCCCAGTAGGTTAAGGTTCAGATTTAGATTGTTTTACAAATTGAATTATTTGCAGAATAATGCTAATTATATGGAAGACATAGCCTCAACTTTTTGAGTATATTTCTGTGATCCTTTCTTTATCATCTGTGCCCATTATCAGACACTGGGCCTTCTTTTTACAAGAAATGATCTTACAATTGAAATAGTAGAATTTCCTTATGTACATTATATATATAATCAAAAGAATAACATTTAAGACACATGAAAAACTAAGTACCTTTTTTTGATTCTTTGTTTATCACCATAATTTCAGAATTTTGGCTAAGTGTTAAAAAAACTGCAAACAAAGATTTGTTTGGAGACAAGGTCTTCTGCATTGTATAACACACAGATGAAATAGGCATAGATTCTTGTTGAATATTCTTTAGGCTCTATCATTTTCTTTACGTATTATACCTTAACCCAGTGGTGCCAGGTTCTCAGACTGTCTTACATCATTTTCTTTTGTGAAGTTTGTTTCCACATAGATGGCTCCACAAGCACTAAGTCATCAGTGGGAGAATTGGTAACCCTACATGTCCTCAGCTGATTTCCCTTTTCTTTGAGTTTTTGAGAATGTCTGTCTTGTTAACTCACAGCCATTGGGAATGGCATGTCTTTACACATAGATGGTTCCACAAGTTCTGTCACAAATAAGTCAATAACAAGTACCTGTCTTAGCCTACCCTTTTCATTAATTTTTGGAAATATTTTCTTTCAAATTATATTGCTATTAGAAATATCAAGAACTTTATAAGAATTATTATGTCTGTAATAGTTATACCAGCATCAATGTTGGTAGCATTAGCGAAAAAAACATTTTTCTTGAAAACTCAAGCTAAGGTAAAATTGGGTGAGTTACAAGGCTGACTAATTTATTCCTTGCCATCTAAGCCCTTGTGGAGCCATCTGTGAGTGGAGACATTTCACCGGACAATGCTAGAGAGAACTCTACTTCTTCCCTGTGGTAATGGATGAATATTGTTGTTGACATAATGATTTTTATGTTATTAATCCAATCGGCACAGAAGGCAAGAATACATGCATGTCTACTGTATTATAAGTTCATTTATTGTCTTTACACATTGATGGCTCTACAAGTGCTTAGACACCAAGGAGTTATTAGTCCTATCTATCTCACCTTTTTACCTTTTCCTTGCTTGCTGAGCACATGTGGAGCCACCTGTATGTAACAACAGGAGATATTACATAAGTTTGTGGTGATTGGGTTAATATTACTAATAGTAATAATAATAATAATAATAAAAAAAAACTTTCTGGAAATCGAAGAAAAGGGTAAGCAGGTGAGTATGACTAGTAATTGACTCCTTGGTGATTAAGCACTTGTGGAACCATCTATGCGAAATGGAAATCAG